GATGGTAAATCCTCATTTTCAATGTCAATGAAAAAGCATTTTAGCTCACCTTAAACTGAAAGGGAAAAAAAGCCATTGCTACCTCAAGATATAACCTAATCACACAGGTTTAAAATATTTCTGCTTTTTTTAAGCAGACTGATCTCTTAATTATCTCCAAATAAAAGAAAATATCATAGCCACAATAAACCACTCAAAGTCATAACCTGGGTGGTGATCTTTACTGTCTACCTTCAATGAACAGTTTTCACCATTGAATTCGTACTCGCTTCCATGCTGAATACACACAGGAGCACGTTACTGCATTGACCAGCATTTTCTTCATTTTTTAACTACACTATACTTAATTTGACATTGCTATGAAAAAAATGTTTGTTTTTCACTGAAGATTTTTATCAGGTGCAGAAATGGAGCGGGAAGGGAAAGGAAAACACATGGAGCAAGCTTTTCCCAAGGCCACGCCATCCTTTTCGGCACCGCAGAACACACTCGTCATCTGACATCGACCCACCTCTCACTTCAGAAACAGATCAATAGGGTACAACCCACTGACACTTCTGTGACCCACCCATGTGTTTCTGGTACACCATTAAAAGTATTTCGTGTCACTAATGCATACTTCTGTATGAAGAAGAGGCAAAAAATAAAATGCGTCAGTTTTTGAACATACCACTTAGCTCCTGCCGATTTGCTCGGGTACTATCGAGCTGAGACCAAAGCTGCCTGATTTCTTCTTGTGACCGAGTCTTGAGTTCTTCATGCGTGACCTGAAGTTTCTCCAGCTATGGAAGATATGTTAAAAAAACAAAAGAAAAACCAAACACCCCCCCCCCAACTTTTTAAAACAATTTTGTTCTAATTGCTTATTTGACATGCAACAGATAGTTCTGTCAGAAATAGGTGGAAACATTTAGTGACAACCAGACTCTCAGCTCCTGACCCAGGCTACCAGAGATACTGAGTAACACTTCACTGTTAGACTCACTCCTCTAAGACAGAGGAATTTGTTCCTGATGCTGTATTTATCATCACTGGCAAAAATAAAGTATTAGCTAGATAAAAATGAAACATAGGAACCAGAAAATTAAGTGTATAAATAAATACAGCAGAAGACACTAAACGGCACAAAGACAATTGCATTCAAAAGATTTTGAACCACTATAGAATCCCAGGGTATTTACCTACTTCATGAGATGCATTTTAGTTTCTCAATAAAATCCCCAAATACAAACAAGTCACCCAGATGATATGGTCTAGTTTTTGTTACATTATATATAATCAAGCACTCAAAACATGTAAAGAAATCCTATTTACCTCCTTCTGAAGATTCTGTTCTTTTTCTAGGCTTTTCATCTTCATATCTTCTAGGAGTTGGTTATGTTCAGTCTGCAGCTGTTCTTGTAATTTTGTAATAGCTAACTGGTGTTGCTTCTCCAATTCTATACATTTGACTAAAATTAAAAATGAGTTCTGTTACACCACCATCCTGGTTACCGAATAACCTGTACAACTCTTTTGCAACTAAAATAGAAATGCATGGCTCTAGACTAGAATGCTAGCTTACAGGGAATCACAAAAATACTTGAATAGTAAAGTACTCCAATGTCAAACGTTTCCACACAGTGCTTCCTTGTCCCCTGCATCCCACAGTGTTAGCCAAGAGGTAACCAGCAGCAGCGCCAGAGGGACCGAGCACTCTCTGAACCCTGTAAACCTCCTGCTACCTCATCTGGTCAACAAATCCTGACTTTCCCAGAAAGAATCTGCAATCAAATGACCACAGTGAGCTGCAAGAGATGTACATTATCCTCACGGAACAGACTTTAATGATACAGGTTCAGAGAAACCTAGTGAAGTCAGTGCAGGCTGGGAAGAACAAGCCATTGCTACAAACACATCCTCGCAGCAGCCAAATGCGAGCCAAACACTGTGAAAGCATCCAGCCCTTGGCTGAAGCTACTCTTCACTTCTTAAACCTGGTCCTACTGCCTGCCAACCAGCATCATCCAGTACCCTTAAGACTGCATTTCTATCTATTTGGAGAGAGGATTATTTCCCATGTCTCTCGTGCACAGCACCTCAGAGGCTACGCAACCCAACTCTTCACTTCATGGCTCACCACATCTCGTGGATCCTTTTCATACCATTACTGACAGCAAATCTGACGCTATTGTGCTGGTCAACCACTATCTCGACAGAGATGCAAACTACCTACACAAACTTTTCATAATCCTTCCTCCTATCAGCACCTCAGCAAAAGATATAAACAGATGTACCCGGCTAGGTGCTCATCCAGATTTCATTTTTCAAGTTAATGAAAACTCCAATTACAGTAGCCTCAAAAACATCACTTCCAGGACAGTATTTGAAAATGCTGCTGTTCTATTACACTTTAACTATTCACAGTCCAAATCCGATTTTTTTGTTAGAGGAAGCTTCTATTGGTATTAATCAGAATTTTGATTAATTCAGTAACTGCCACAGCTGGTTTTCAGCTGGAAGTAAAATAGCACCTCCCTTTAATACACCTGAAGGTAAAAATAGTCCATTTTATATTCTGTGGAAGTCAAAACACAACACAGCTAACTAGGCTTTAAACAGTTTTTCATTTACATCTTGTTTTCTAGACAGTCTCATGCCATCAACCCAACTTTTAGGAGTACGTGGGACATATCTTCTATTTTCTTTTTATGCAGGTTCTAAAAACACTTAGTTAGCTTTTTGATTGTTCAATAAGGACAACTGCTTCCAGACCATGGCACTTACTTTTAGACTGTTCGTTTTCAAGAGAAAGAAGTCCCAGCTCTGCTTTGACTTTTTCTAATTCCATTTCCAGAGTTTTCTGCAGTTCCACCATTTCAGTCTGATATTTTTCAGACAGCTCTTCACGTGTGCTTTTTAAACGCATCTCAGACTCCAATTCCCAGTCTCTTTTGAAAGTCTAAGAAAGCAAGACATGCATTATTAAAGCAAACACATTTAGTAAATTAGTACCTTTTTTTTTTCTTTCCTCTTCCATTTATTTGTCTCTACAATAAATGCGTAGTAGACACAGGACTTCTATCAGCTCTATTTTACTGAAAGGCGTTTTACTTTTTCTTGTATGAAGAACAGAATTTGTACCTCTAATGCCTGGATATGTGTCTCTTCCATTTCCAATTCTATTTTCTTTCTTTGATCAACTGTGAAACAAAATACTACTTATTAATAAATTTACACAAAATGTTACGATTAAATGAGAAGTAGAAATATGGATGAGATTACCATTTTCGGTATCAAACTCAGAGCTTTAATTGCATGCAGCAGTGTGAGGTACCGGGTTCTACCCAAATCTGCTGTCATGCTACATCCCAGTAATTCACTTTCATTTTAGAAAATAAGCATCTAGCAGTTACAACGGCAAAGACAACCCTGAAGGTTAGGCTCAGCTTAATTAGCAACAGAAAGTCTGCTTAAATCTACAGAGAGCATGATACTAAAAAAACCCCAAACAAAACCACAAAAATCACAAAGAACGCCACACCTTTATTCCTAAAGATATAAATGCAAATGCCTATCAATTTCATTTTAGATGCTAGCATTTCACTGCACGTCACTATTAAGTGTTTGAATGATCTCTATCTCCAGAGACACAGCAAAAGAGCAGCTGGCAGCAGCAGTGAGTAGGAAACTCTCTTCCAATGTCTTCTAAAAATGCCTAGGAAAGAGACTGGAAGACAGATGCCGTTATCTGCTCACTGACACCAACGGCTTCTTCCTTCCCCAATTCATTCCAACTTCTTGTTCAGCACCTTTCTTGATCTGCAAGAACCCTGTAAAGGCCTATCAGTCCCCTCCTTACAGCTTCAAAGTACCGTTGCCTTAGCCTACCACCTTATTTCAATTCTTTCAGTGGCAAATGAGAACTCGGAGACCAAGATGGTGCCAGGTACCCACCTAACAGTCCAGCAGAGGAAGAAATGTCATCTAGAGTTACAAGGCAGTGTCCCAGCACTCAAGTAAGTTGGTTCATGCCCAATCATCACCTCCCTGAAATGTCTTTCCTCTAGCCACCCCCAAGTAACAGCATCCACAACTCCCACCAAGTCTCCTGCATCATCTGATTCCAGATTCTCCTTCTGAGCCCCTATGTTCAAGCACTCACAAGTGGTTACATTCATCGTTACATTGCCAAAACACACGTGAACAGCATTCATCTTAAGAACTGCATCCAGACCTCCTCCTGCTCCCAAATCTGGTTTCCTGCTCTCAGTCAAAAAGACACAACCCTGAAAGATTCTCTTCCTCTGAGGGAAAGACAACTAAAGGAATGGTTCCTAAACTTCTTCTGTGAGTTACTGCTGGCCTCACTTTTCTCCAGAAATTCCTCGAGCTCTGCCATACAGGTCAGAAACGGTCTCCTGAACTGGGAAGAGGCAAATATCCCAAACAATGCTAAAAGCACCATCAGCAGGCCTTCAGTACTATCAAGTGCACCTTTCATCTTGCTGCTGTGAAAATACAATCTTACATCAAACGTATCTCAAAGGACACCCAGCTGCAGGTTCTCACTGAGCCTTTCAGTTCCCTTCCCACTCCTTTATAAACCAGAGAGAACAAGCCAGGAAGCATTTCCATATCTTGTCAGAAACACAACAGTAGTCAGTGCTGACTTAGGGCAATAAAAGCCCTTAAGAAACATAAGGGGTAAGAGCTCTATTCTTTGTGCCAATTAAATTCTTCACGAGAGCTCTGTCTAATGCTTCCTGAAAGCAACTTGGTCAGTACAGTGCTATGTTACAGAAGTGGCAGCAAAACACCCATACAGTTGAAGAAAAACTAAACTTAGGTCTGGACATCTTCATTTTCGCATATACAACATGCACTTTTGCACATGCCAGTCTAGGTGCCGTCCCTATTGCAGCCAACACCAGTCGTCACTCAAAAGGTCAGCTCTACACCAAGACTTCAGGAACCTGTGGAGAAAGAAAAATACCAATAGGGTTTCAATTTCTGGTCCATTATTCCCAAATTTTAATACCTAGTTCTTGCTGATACTTTAACTCAAGGTCTTCTTTTTCCTTCAGACACTGTTGTTTATTCTTCTCCCACTCCATCTGATGGCGGCTTTGCAGAATTGCTACCTCCTGAGCACGCTTATCATTGAGCATCTCCCGTAGTTCCACAAGGGCCGTTTCCTTTTCTTTTGTCAAGTTTGACTGAGTAAGCTCAAGCTGAGAGGTGTGCATATTATTCAAGCTTAGGCGTAAAGCTTCCAATTCAAGGCTGTGCAGTGTCTGTAATGGAGAAGAAAAAGTGTTTTTCCCTCCCCTCTAATGAAACGCATTCACTTTTTCCATGACCAGTTTCAATTGCTTTCAACTGTTAAACACATCTAAGTTTTCTGGACTTGGAGAGTGTTTCTTCACAGCAGGGACAGAACCCTGAAAATAAGCTGATCTTTGTTACCGTGAGGTTTGCATAATGTTTTCAGTGTGAGGTAAAAGGTTTTTCCTTACCTGCCTCTTAATTTCATCACCTACCAAATACCTTGTATCTGTCCACTTCCTCACAGTGTCATCAGACCAGAACACAAGCTCATCCCGACCTTTCACTGTCTATTAAAAAAAAATTCCTCATATTTGCTATTGGTTATCATTTGTTAAAAAGCAAAATTCTGAAGTGGTAGTGGAAAAGCAGAAATAAAATTGACCATGCCTCATTAAAAAAATTGAGGACTATCCAACAGTTAGAAATGGTAGCTGAAATAGACCAATTAAACTTTTCAATTCTTACATAAACTAAACAGTACACAAACATCTTGTAATTTGACCTGACAATAGACATATTCTTTCTATTTCCACTTTGCATTTAGTGGAAATGTTCAAAACCCAGTAAATATTTAGAGGAAAAAGTCAGGTTTACATACTTAAGTTTAGCACGAGAACATTCCTAATCACATTAGTGGGATAATTAAAAAGTGGGACTTTTATAAAGTATTTTTTATAAATTTACTTGTTAAAGACATTAAAAATGACAAAGTTTCATGGGTTTTTTTTAAACACATCAATTTAAGTATCCAGTTTTCTTCAGAAGTAATGTTAAAATATAATTGCAGTGAGGATCCTGGAAAGCTCCTGCAGAAAATCTCTCCTGCCGCCCACCAAGGGAACCCTCCTAATTCTCCAATTGCAGCACACACAGTATGCACAAAAATCAAGGAGCCTTCTCTCTGCAAGAGCCAGGTAACCACTACAGCAGTAATTACTGCATTTCTGTATTTTACCTGTGATTGGAGTTGAGCTTGCTCAATCTCTGCTTTGTGCGTGGCTGTCATTTGCTGCCGAAGTTCGTCCAACAGGTGCTGCTGCTCTTTATTTAGTTCAGCACGGAGCGTCTCCATTTCCTCTTCGTGTTTAGCAATCAGTTCAGAGATTTCACGATCATGCTCCCGTTCATGTACCTGCAGAGAATACTCAGATAAAGAGCTTTCTTCAAAATACAGTTAGTTAGCCCCCCAATAAATTATTGAGCCAGAATTCTCCCCTCCTCCTGACCCCAAATCAAAGACACAAGGGAAAAAACCAATTTTTTTCATCTCTAAAACTTTTGTACTACTTAACTGACAAACACCACAAGATTTTTCTGAAATAAACCCAATGACAGCATTTACCTTTTTTATTAAAGCAATCTGTTCCTTTCTTTCTTCTTCCAACTTCTGCTGTTTTTCCACTTGATCTTTTATTTCAGCATTTAATTCTTCTATCTGAAAACAGGCATACAAACATGTGCAATGACTTCCTTGAGCATTCTGAAATCCCAAGACTCCTGCCCTTATCGGGGTTTCCTACCTCTTTCTTGTGTGTCAAACTCACTTTAGTCAATTCGGCAAGGCGTCGAGTCTCCATTTTATCAATTTCCTCTTCGTAATGTTTCACCATCTGGGATTGCGCCTCCTGCGCAGCTTGTGCAGACTGAAAGGACTCCTGCAAGCGAGTCTCAAGCTCCAAATGAACCGTCTTCAAATGGGCAATTTCTTCGGTCAGCTGGCTTTTTTTCTCATTGTATTCAGTATTTTTTGCCTTTATTTCAGCATTAAGTTTATGAATTTCTAGGGTGCTGAAGTTTAATCTGTCCTCATATCCCAGTCTTTCACACTCCTGTATTTCTTTGAGGTTTTTCACTTCAGAATTAAGTTCATGTATGTTTTTCTCAAGATCCTCAATGATGCTAGCATTCTCTGCGAGTGCTTTTTCTGCTTTTATGAGATCCTTCTCCACGTCAGACAATCTTTCTCCTAAGGCTGTTTTTTCCTTCTGTAAGAGTGCTAAATTTTGTTCTTTATTATTGATTTCAGCTTTGAGCAACTCCTGTTCTTTTAGCAATGTCTCTTCAGATACAGTTTTCTGACCAAGCAGCTCTGCTATTGTCTGGTTTTTAGCCTTCTGAGCATCAAGCTGACTTTGCATTTGATCCCTTTGACTTTGCAAGGCAGCTAACTGACGCCCAAAAAGGGACTGTACTTCACTTGTTACAGAATCAGAAGCTGTTTTCTGCTCTTGAACGTCTTTCACCAATTGCTCCTGAGTTCGCAGCTGCACCATCAACATTTCTCTTTCCTCCTGGAGGTCTTTTACCATTTCTTGCCAGGTCGAGGATTTTGATGCTTGTGTTAAAGACTCTACAGCGCAGGAAGGCTGGCCTCCATCCTCATCCTGCTGCTTTACTAGAAACATTATTTTGTTTTCAAGTTCTTTCTCCTTCTCTGTTTTTTGAAGAAGTTCTTTTTCACAATGGATCCGTGCTTCACGTTCTGCATCCAGCTCCACACATTTTCCAATAGCTTCTTGGGTCTCCTGATAAGATTTCTTCAAGGCTGACTCCTTCTCATGAAGCTGCTCAGTTAGCTTCACACATCTCTCTACTAAATTGGCTGTCTCATTATCCTTTAAGTCACCATGGTCATTTATTTTGTTTTGCTGCAGGGAGCTCTCTGACAAAAATGAAACAAAGGTCTCTGCTCCCACCTCAGTCTCTTCAAAAGTCCCTTGAGCCAAACTTCTGCTGGGTTCTAGAAGTATACTGTCTAACTCATACCTACTGCATCTACCTTCTTCAATGGCATAACCTTCAGAAGAGCTGGACGCATACGACTCTTCTGGTCTCTCTGTGGATATGAGATACTTAGCCAATATGCCTTCATCACCATTGAAGAACCCTAGTTCTGGCACGTGTTCTTCAGGCAGGTTATCTCCTTCACTACTTTCATTATTCTCTGTGATCTTTGAATTCTTAATTTCTTCTAGTTGATCACTTGAGGACTCTGCTCTCAAGTTACGCTGGAACTCTAGTTCTTCATGAACTAGCTCATCTTCACCTTTCAACTCACGTGGTTTATTCCACATCTCTGCTCTCAGCGACACCTCTGGTAAAATCTGGTTTTCCTTCCATTTCATTAGGTTTTTATCGGAGACAATCTCTTCATCATGCTTTTGCCTTACATCCATACTTTTTTCTGCCTCATAAAGTTGCTTTTCATTTAATTGCTGGATGAAAGAATTCAGTCTCTGAATCTCTTCATTCAAGGACTGTTTTTCTTGTTTGTATCGCTGGGCTTCCTTGACCTGCTCTTCTGCATCAGAAAGTTGAGACTTAAGGCCATCAATTAAATCCTTGTATTTAGTCTCAATTTCAGATTTTTCTCTCTGGAACTCTTCCTGTTGGTTTTCAAGTTTCCTTCTCAAATTTTCTTTATTAATTTCAGACTCATGAAGACTATTATTTAAGTCAATTATTATGCCATTCAAATTCTGAATGTGTTCTTCAGAATTCAGAGCACAGAGCTCTTTTTTTAACTGTTCAAGTTCATTCTTATATTTTAAAATAATTTCTTCTTCATATACCTGCTTGGCTTCTGCAATCTCTCTTCTGTGGCACTTCTCCAGCTCAGCCCTCAAGTTCTCCAATTGTCTGCAAATATCCTTTTCATGACTGATTTTCAGTTCTTCAATACACTGCTGTTCTTTCATTTTGGATAAAGCTATTTCATTTTTTAATTCTGTTATTTCTGAGTCCCGGAGAGAAAGGGTATGTTGTAGTATAGATAAGCTATATCTTTCCGATGTCAGTAGATCTTGAAGACTTTTAATATGTTGGTCTTTTTCTCCTATGCTTTTGTATAGATGTTGCATTGTATCTTTCATATCCTCTTCCATTTGGGAGAGAAGATTTTCTTTATCTTTGGTATTCTTAAAAATAAAATATTACATATGAAATATGCCATGTTTTAATTTCCTTAAGACTCATGTCTTTAATGTATCTTCACACATTAATATTTACTGTTAAGTGCAGGGTGTATCATTGGCCTAGGCAACAGGATTTTCAAGCACATCCTTGAGAGTGGAAAGTACTATTGAAAGACTCTTCAAATGTGGTAACAAATATCAAACTGTCCAAGCAATTACAAG